ACCCCTCTTAGGGACACCCCGAGCATCCCTCCCCGAGCTGCAAGTGCGAGGGGCCCGGGCGGTGGGAGGTGAATGGGCAAAGGGTGCTAGGGATGGGGAGGAGCGGGCGGGGAGGAGGGGACACCCCCCGGGGGCAGCCGGGGACGGGAGCAGCCTGGGCTCGGGGTGGCTGAAATCAGCCCGGCGGGAGCCTCTAGCGAGAGGATGCACCTCCGTGATAGCCCAAGGGAGGATTTTCCCCTGGAAGATGCTTAGGCTGGAAGGAAAGGGCCCTTTGTTACGCTGAGTGTCAACACCTTGCAATTGGGTGTCCTCCGGGAGGGTCTTCTGGGCCGCTGGAGGGCCCCTTGCTTCGTGCCTTTCTCCTAAAAATTAAACTAGCCACCTTCCAGCTCTTGGAAATGCCTCCTACGGGAGGGCGTCTGGGCAGCTGTCCTGCTCTCCCACCCCAGACACGACTGTTGAAGATACCAGCTATGGGATGCATTGCCCTCTGCCCTTCATGCCCATGCCATCCATTTGGGAGGTAAAACCTACATTTAATCTTCCCCTACCATTGCTTTATCCTAAACTACTTGTAAAGAAGGTACTTCAGACATCTGCTTTCTCCTTGCTCTCACAGTGTGCTCACCCATACGACACAAATCATGCCACCATGTCCTCTCCCCTCCCCAGGCACACCAGGGCCTCAGCTACGCAGCCCAGCTGAGCAAAGAGGAGCAGTGGAAGGAAAGCAAACAAAATCGATTTTAAGCTCTGCTCAGTGATGGCAGGAAATCCTTCCTAGCTGTCAGGGAAGCAGCAGCATGTGTGTTTAAAACAACTCCAGCACTGGATATTAAACACTGGTAAAGATTACATCTTCTCCCCCCCAGGCATGTTTTGAATGGATAGCAAGGGAGTCAGAGCTACAAAGGCTCCTCAAATTTGGCTTCATGTGAGCAAGGAGTGAGATTCTGCCAGCCAGGCATAGTACTCCCCACACAGAGTGCATTGCATTCCAGCCCCTCCAGAATCCTCACCGTGGAGCCAGCAAGAGGCCTGCTTGGCTCACAGTGCTGGGAGGTTGCAGGGAGGAGGTTGGATGGGGTGTTTTAAGGAAGAGGGAGACATGACGAGAAAAAATAGCAGAGGGCGAGAAGGTGGATGTGGAGAAAGCCCAGTGACATGCAGCTGGCCCCAGCAGTGAGGCCAGTGAGTGCTCCAGGCAGGTGAGTGCTTGATGCACTGACACAAGTTGGCACCAGTGCAGGATGAAAAGAAAATGGAAGCTGGTGCCCCGTGGTACAAAGGGAAGCCTCTGACCTGCCCCTTCCCAGCGGTGGCAAGGGATTTCAGCCCCCTGCATCAGCCCCTGCCTGCAGCCTGCCCACCGCTGTCAGTGGCCAGGCAGGAGTGGATTCAAAACAAACCCGATTGGGTGCTGGACCAGACCACTCTACCCCACTGTGTGCACATCAGGATGGGAGGGGCATCCACTACCTGAAACTCAGTGAAAAAAATGCCATACACCTTTGTGAGGTTTTTTGCGACCCATGCTGGGGGAAGCAATGCTGTGCTGGGGACTGTGCATTGACCTGGCCATCCAGATTTTATTGCCAAAGGCCACAGAATCGCAGTGGCAAGGTTTATCCCTCTGTCTGACACCACTGTGACAGTGAGTGGGGTGGGTGAGCCCCTCCACACCAGCCCCCACCTCTCACCCATGCTGGAAGTGGAAGAGTTGGGTGTCACAGCAGGGCAGGGCTCATCGCTTATGAGGTCCCAACCTTTCCCTCTCCCTCAGCAGGGACCCCAACTTTCTCCTGGAGACAAAGAAGCAGCAAAAATAACTTTTCACAGGGGGGTGATGATTCAGACTGGTGAGTAGCCAGCACAGCCTCCCTGTCCCATGAATAACGATTCAAAGATCCTCCGTGGGCAGCCAGCTCCATAAGGACATGGTGATGTGGAAACCCTGCCCTCCTGTGGGCAACGGGGTGGGGGAGGCAATGAGGGGGCTTTGGGGAGCCCAGTTTCGAACAAATTGGAAACAGAAGCTGGTTTTAATAAGAGCTCATGGATTCAGCCCACAGGGATGGGGAGTGAGCAATTAAAGGATTTTCTTCCTTTTAATTAATGCCCAAATAGTGTCTTGGGCTGGCTGCTGTCCCCAGTGGGTGGCTGCTGGCAGGGCAAGACAGGCTAAGAGGCCACGCTGCTGTGGTCCCCAGGCTAGAGTGACATCTGAGATGGGCTGCTGGCTTGAGGGGAAGGACACCCCTTCCTGTGAGCCAGGTAGATGCAGTGCCCCACATCCAAGCCTCCCTGTGGGAACAAGACAACCTCTTGCCGGCTCGGGGAAACTCTCATCCTTTTGTGATGCTCAGGCCAGTGGTGGGGATGAGGAGAGGAGAGCCCTTTCCCAGGGGAGGGTAACCCGGGGTCTCTGGGGCAGGGGATGTCTGCCCTGGCACTATCATTCAACTCACAGGTTCAACCCAGGGCCACCCTAATGGGCAAAAGGGCTCCTCCTCAGCTGCCACCCCATGAACACAGCTCCACCTTCGCGTTAGACCAGAAGCTTTCAGTCCATCTCACTTGGGGTTCTGCAGGTTCCATGCAGTGTGAAAATCCTGGCTTCTTTCATTTCCACATCTCATGGTGCCACAGACACAGTTTGTGTCACCTCACTCACACTCAGGGTCTGCCTGCACCAGCACACTCACACAGGACATCGTTGGATGTGTCCGGTCAAGGCTGGTGTCTGCCTCTCTGGCCTTCCTCCAGCTCTAGAAAGCATGGGTCAGAGGTGGCTTCATTTGCTGTACTTGGGTCTGGTCAAAAGCCCGCTCACCTCCCAGCAAAACCAGGGTGCAGGGGTGAGGAAGAGAGTGCCAGCCCCACAGGTGTCTTGGGACACAGTGGAGGCAAGGTGAGACCGATGGCAAAACACTAGTAGCCCAACATCTTGGCCATGCTCTGCTTGAGTGGGCAGCATTTCCTGCTCCTGGCCAGCCAAGACACTGCTGGAGGGGGCTCTCCTGTGGCTTGCTGTGCCTCAGACACAGGAGAAGCATCGCAGGGACCCCCAGCCTTGGCTAACCAAACCGTGACTCTCTCCTAGTCCAGCCCAACCTCTCCCCCTCAAGGTGAGCCCCAGATCACCTTGCCCAAGGGCAGCCCTGAGGCTGTTTTGGTTGGAGACAGCTCAATGGTGACATCCCACAGCCATGCCCAGCCACTACCCTTCCCGAGCACCCAGAAGTACCTACTTCCCCACTCTTCATCCAAAACCCATCTGCTTTCCCTATCACATCTCCCACCAATAAGCACTTCCCCACCTAAAATTTTGCCTTAAGCTTTTTTTTTTTGTGTGTGTGTGTATGTTTCTATGGACAAGAGACTAATGGAGTGAATTTGGGGCTCTGATTACACACATTAGAGTATTTTTCACTCTATTTCTTAGATGGGAATGTCATAAAGTGCACTTAGGCACACATGTTTGAGTTAGGAAGTGTTTTTCAGCCACCCAGTGCTAGGTTGTGCTCAGCTTAAATTCCATTTTTTAAAAGGATGCAGGAGACCAAAGCACTTTGAGAAGGCCAAACTGTAGCAAGTGGAACCTGAACACACTTCACCACAGTTCTCCCCCTTCCCTCAGCATTACCGAAGTCTCCTTTGTCCTTTGTCAGAGCTTCTCTGTGCCCAGAAAGGCCTGAAGACCCAAACCAGAATTGACCCACAGTACACAAGAAGATACTAAGTGTGTTCATATTTGACGGCAGAGCGGACTGACTCTGGCTTAGGGCAGGTGTGTTTCAGTAACCCTGCTACCAGCTCCACAGGTCACTTACACAGCAGGTCATGGCCCACCCAAGGAATAGGAGACAACAGGTTTTGGAATGTAACAATTTATTGTGTTTTTTTTTTTTAATTTTTAACTCCCCATTTCTGGCATTGATACAATATTCAAGAGCAGCAGAAAGAACAAAATGTACAAGAATACAAGAGTAATCAGCACAACCCCCACCCCCAAACCTGGAGCAAACCATTTTCTTGTGGGAAGTGCCATGGGAAGTGGCAATTCAATCACCCCTCCAGTGGCTATGCCTCCCACCCATCTGCTCTAGACAGAGTTTAGCCAGCTGGGAACTGGATTTAAAAAAAAAAACAAAACAAAAAAAACCCCAACACACAAAACAAAACCTGACCAAACACTATATTTAAAATGAAAATTGCAAGACAAAAAATATAGATATACAATTCATCCGTGCACAATCCTTAAATGTATTTTTTTCAAAATAAAAAAAATTACAAGATACATACTTAGGTTTATTTTAAATTAAAAAAAAAAAAATCCACCTTCACTCAGTATGCCAAGTGAGGGGAAATAAAGAGACAGATGGGTTGCACCAGAACCATCAGCACTCTAGGAGTTAGGTCTGACCTTCTCTAAGAGAAAGGATAAGGCTCTGGTGCTGCCAAAACTCAAGCACAGGCTGAATCTGAAGCACCCAAGTACCACAGAGCTCAGTGGGGTAACTTGCCTGCTCAAAGTTCAGTATTTGCAGGAATCTGCAGGATTTGAGCCTAAGCTTGGCACTGGGGAAGGTGAAAGGAAGGAACAGATGAGGCAGGCCCCTGTCCTCCACCACCAGCAGACAACTTTCTATCCAGAAAGAAAACAAACGGGGGAAAAAAAAAATATAACACAAAATAGAGAGAGCCCTCTGTTCTTAAGGAGCATACAAGGCTTAATGGCAGGGCAGAGGAGGAGGGGAGGACAGCATACCAAACTGATCAGCTTGGGGGAGGCGTGAACACAAAAGCTTTTTCCTAAAAAGTGTCATCACAACAAATTTTTTTGTCGTTCTGTTTGAGAACTTGACGTAAGACTAGGTCCCCCTTTGCAGCCGGGGGGCTGGAAGCAGCAGGCTCCCTCCAGGACAGCTAAAAAGCAACCTACCTGTGAAAGAGCACCTACCTACTGCTCTGCCCAGAAGGAAACCCACAGCACCCCCGGAGAGCAGGGTGCAGCCAGGAGGCTGCTGGGGAGCACAGAAGGACCCTGCTAGTCCAAGGCCCCCAAGCCCCACAAAGTGCTCTGACACACCCAGCCTCACTCCTGCGGTTTAGTGCAAGCTCTAAGTGCTCAGCTAAACAAGGAAGTTGAGAACCAGGGCCCTGCAGTGGGAATTAACATTTCAGCTGCTTGTCCCAACCATGCCCCTTCCCTCCCACCAGATATATTTCTGAGCTGCTGCTGAAGCTGGCATCACCCTGACTGCATCCAGCTGTTCTGTCACCTTACTCCTTTCCCTACACTGCAGCACAGTGCTTGCTGCCCATTTCCCTGCTGCACACAGCCCAGGAGCACAGAGGGCATCTCCACTCCTTCAACCCCAGCGCTATCTCTGCCAGCACTCACAGATGGGAGCCTGGATGGAGACGTCTCAAAGCACAGTGCTCACCTAAGGTGGAGGGGCTCTCACCCCAAAGATTGTGCTTTCAGACGGTCCTGGAGACATTTTGTTTCCCACCAGAGAAGCTGGAAGGGACAGAAGAGTGGCCAGAGGCAGCCCACCACCATGGGAAGGGCAAACTGACTACACCTACCTTCACTCCCAGAAGGAGAAATTTAAAGAAAGGGCGAAACTTGAGGCCCTGTGACATCCTCAGAAGCGAGGCAGGTGGGACACAGAACATACACAAAGCTGCTGGTGCCAAGGCTGCTGACCCTGCACAGACATGGGTGCAAACCCCACTAGCCACAGCAGTCCGACGCAGGGCAACATGGAAAGCGGAGAGAAGCAGAGGATGGAAGGGCAAAGGTGAGGACAGTGATAGACTCCAACTATCCCATCTACACCCCCAAAAAGAAACCATACACATTCCACTCTGGGGAGGGGCCTAAAAAATAGAAGAAAATAAAATAAAGCCACTTATTTGCTCAACCCCAAAGCATCGATGAAATGAAGATATCTGCTGGAGTTACCTAGGGAAGGAAGCACGGACAGGCAGGGGGATTTCTGAAGCAATACTCAGCACTCCTTGGGCTCTGTGCAAATGCTGCAGGAGTCAGGGCTGCCAGCACCCTCAGCAGGATGGTCCCCCCTCCACCCCTTCACACCAGGGAGACAGAGGCACAGGTCAGTGACACAGCTGGCAGAAAGGCCACGGCAAACCAAGAAAAAGCAGAACCCAGGAGGCACCAAATCCCTGGCCCCAAACTAACCCTCTACAGCACAGCACATTCAGAGCAGACATCAGGAAGGCTGCGTACAGGGTGATGGGTGAGATGGGGAAAAGAGGGGAAGGGGGAAGGTTTCTTTTATATTTATATATAAAAAGTAAATAAGATTCCAGCTCTTGCACAATTATTGGGTGATTGAAAAATGCAGCAAAAGCAAGCGATATTGGAGTAAAAGGATGCACCAGGCAAGGAGGAAAAGGTCTTGTCAGAAGGTGAGGAAGGAAGAGAGGGGAGAAATAAGCACTTAGCCAGACATGCACTCCAGGTTTGTTACACCTCCCTGGGAAGAAGGACCTGCTCCCAAGCAGCCCCACTAATGCCACAACCTGGGGTGGGCAGTAGTGTGGGGAACTCGGGACACCATCCTTCAGCATGGCAACCTCTTTCTGCCAGGAGGTCCCCAGGAAGGTGATAATCTCCAAACGCTGTGAGCTGCCAAAACCTCCTCTACAAAGAGGGGCTGGGAAAGGGAGTGAAATCCCTAGGAAGACTCAGCTCAGAGACAGCTGCTACTTAGTAAATAGCAGGACTGTTGTTTTTTTTGTTTTGTTTTATTTCGTAAAATCTCCCTGGGAACTTCAGTAAGGGGAGACACGAATAAATGCTCCCTTTCTCTTTTGGAAACAGAAATTAAGCAGTGGCTCACCACAGCTGGGTCTGCTCACCACACTTTTTCTCTGTTTTCCATCCCAAAAGGAGTTTGTATCTTGTTAGCTTCACACCTCCCCAGTCCCACTCTGCTCAGCGAGGAGAAAAGAGAGCACAAGACAGGAGGCTGCCACTCCAAGGTGAAAACTGTGGGAAGCACTGGCAGAGCTCAATGGGCAGAGAGAGGAGGAGAAATTCCTAAGAACAGCCCAGGTGATGGGAGGCATCAAGACATCTGTCACCTGCCACTGCAATGCCAAGGGCACCAGAGAAGTCCAGACAAGGAAAGCTGTCCTAGCATCCCCTGCCCATTCAGACACCAACATCTGGTGACTCCCCTCTTCCCTGCAGTCACTCCCGCACACCAGATGAATGCCCAGCAGAGACATCTTGGATGGGCAAGCCAGCATGAAAGAGCTGCCTCCTTGCTTTGAAGAAACATTCAGGCAACACTTCCCCACCACCTCGCAGGAAGCCAGGGCAGAAGGTGGCAGCTCTACTTGAGCACAGTCCCATTGTGGTGTTCCTCTCCCCTCTCTGTCCCCAGACCTCCAGCATTTGCTGGCCTCAAGAAGAGGGTATGCCTTGCTAGCAACACCTTCAGAGCACACAAGGCAGTGCTCTCACCTGTCTCTGAAGATCCAGCCACTATTAGAGATGGGAGTCGGTTCTCTGTCCTGATGTGGTGAATCCTACATGGAAAAATACCATTTCCCACTTGACACTGGAAGAAGCTAAGAGACCCTAAAGAGGGGAGGCATATCTGCTTCCTGGGAGATAAGCCCACCGTGTTTAATCCTGCTTGGATATGGGGGAGGGGAAAAGAGAAGAGACAGTGACTTGGCAGGAAAGGTACATGCCAACCCCAAATCTTAGCAGCTTGCTGTGCATGCAGTCAGTCAACTGTTTCCATGTTGGTGGCTCGATCCACATTCTGGCAGAATGCGACCAGCCATTTCTGATGGCCACCTGGCCAGAAAAACCACTTGGAGACTCCACCTTAGCTCACAGGAGAGGTATGGGAGGGAAGGGAACTCACTCCAACACTTGGGAGGCAAGGACGGGAAGGGTTTGTAGACAGGGTTCCTCCAACATACAACTTGCCTTTTCAGCTCAGAGATCGCTGCTTAGTCCCAGAATGCCTTTCTCTCCAGTTCAAGCAAGCCAAACACCATCCCAGACACACATGCTTCAATACTACAAAATATTCTTTTCTCTAAGGACCATCTAATACCACTACAGTTTGTGCAATCACTGCATTTATTAGTCATTTTTAAACTCTCTCTCTCTCTCTCGCTCTCTCCCCGTAGAAATTTTTTTTAAACTTTTCTTTTTTTATGCAAAACTAATCATTTCACTTTTTCCACTCCATCATAAAATCTCCTCTAAAAACACAACAAGAGAACAAACATGGCACAGACACAGAGAATACTTCCCTGTTTGTTTGTTTTTTTTTAACCTAGGGGTTATGGGGAAGTGAAGGGGATACTTTCAAATAAACTCCTCCCTCAGTTCCATGCCCTTTTTTAAGGGCATGGATGGATCTTCTTTCCCATCTCCACGAAGGAGCAAGGGTAAAAAAAAATCAGAAGGAAGAGTGTAACCCACGTGAATATGAAGGTAGGTTAGTCAGCCTCAAGTGGCTTGTCCACCTGAGGGAACTTGAGGCTGCTACTGTGTTCAAGTTAGAGGTTTGCTAACTCAAACCAGCACAGGATCCTGATTTCGGATCCAAAGATTCAGGGTTTGGTTCCCACCTGGTGACCTACCCAGGGAGAGATTTGTCACACAAGCAGTTGAGCTGTATCTGCAAGCCGGATCATACTCCTTTCTTCCTCCACAAAGAGGATCTACTGCATGAGTTCCTCTGCTGCAACAAGTCCCCTCATCTCGTCACCACAGGAAGAAGGTCCTCATGGAGTATCCCTACAATGACCCACTATTTTGCTCTTCACAGACAGTCCCCTTGCTTGTCACTCTGGAGTAAGGCAAAACCCCTTCAATTAAACAATTCCTGCCCCCTGCCCCCAAAGAACACCATACAAGAGACACTGGGGAAAAGAATTCTGCCAAGCAAGCACATCTTGGCCAAAACACATCAAGAGTTTCCTATTAAAGTTCCCTTTTATCTCCCACTTAAACACTTTAGTTCTTTTTTTTTCAGAACCTCAATACCACAAAACAAAACACATCACCACATACACACCAAACAGTAACTTAACAACCTGAAGTGACTGGCCAGTTTGCATCCACCCCATAAAGAAGCTCCTCTTATCTCGCAGCCACAGAATAGTTCTTGTGGGAAAAAAAAAAAAAAAAAAAAAGAGAAGAATCTCCTATTTCCCTAAGAATGGGCTTTTCCCCTATGACAACAAACTGCTCATCTTTGAAGCTGCAGTCAAATGGATAGGATATGCTAAAATAAGGGATCCCTGGGTGTGCCAGGCACAGGAAAGATTAAAAAAAGAGAAAAAGACACGAAAAATACAGGCAGGTATTAACAGAGACACGCACACAAGTCCAACAAGTTATAGGAAGCCTTAGCTTGGTGAATGGATCAGGGAAGTCTCTCCCTGCCCCTAGCTTCAGCTGCAAATGCAACTGCATCCCCAAAGAGTTCACTAAGCTCTTTAACCAAGGAAAGAAAAAGAAAGAGGTGTGCAAAGGGTGGTGCTAACAGCACCTGGAACCCCCCTCAGACTGTCTGCACAGACACCCAACCACAACTAGCGTGAATCCACTGTGCCCACCGCAATGAACACCACCCACTTTGAGGCAAGGCTTGTGGGGAGAGCAGCAAAGATTTTATTACACCAACCCAGGCACTGGAGGCAGGGAAAAGACAAGCTCTGGGCACAGAAGGCCTAATTAAGGTCAGAAGCTGGTCTATCCTTCTACCACCCTGATGACATCCCTTGGGCAGACAAATATTACCTCTCTCCCACAGGCTGCCTCTCTTCTACCCTCAGACCACTGCAACCACAAAATCACAACTTCACACAAGAGCACTCCTTGGAGCTGGCAGCTCTTGAATATCCTCAATGTGAAAGCACCAGAGGGGCCAATTCCATTCATGTTCACCCACCCAGGGCAGATTTGTAAGCAGGTGAGCCCTGGCATGGGGAATTTTTTCCACCCTTTTCACCTCTGCAGCATGTTATGTAGAAGCGACACCCCTCTGCCCCATCCCGAATACCAGGGACAGAGTTGAGAGGGTGAGACTCCCACCGATTGATCAGCACCTCTTTTTCTTGCCCCTACAGCCGAGTCCTGTGCAAGTAGGGGAAGAAGGGAGAGCAAAAGAATGGCATCTTACTGTGAAGTTTAGGACTTAACACAGAAATGGAGCAAGCCAGAAATGGCAGGCAAAAGAGAGAGCTTATTTTGGATGTGAACAAAGTGGTCAGGAAAATAAGGAGCTGTGGGTAAAGAACAGCAAGCTGTGGTCTTGCTCACTCCTACTTGCTAGGGGTCAGGGGAATGAATTTCTACATGAGCTCACAGGAGCTCTGGGGGAAGAGATCCAGTGCACATGCATACGATGTGAGAGAAGTTTCTTACTAGCACCTTTGGTTGACAGTTGTAAGGGCTGTTTCAGATGCTGAAAAGACAGAGGGGAACCCTCTTCCAGGCCATCCCAGGGAAGGGAGAGCAGGAGACAAAAGGAAGCAGGAAGAGCAAACAACCTGCCTTAGCATCCACCCCTCCCTCTGAGGAAACTGAGAAGAAGCAAAAAGGGTCTGTGGAAGCTTATGCGCAAGGCGGGAGACCAGCCTCATCCAGCTGGGGCAGCATCATGCTGTCGGTGTTTCTTCCCCCAAACTGAAGGATGGATGCACAGCCCACTCCCACTATGGGAAGGCTGGGGAAGGGCATTTCATGCTCTCTCCCCCAAGCAAGTACAAGTGCTGAACACCAGGAGGAAGATCTGGGCCAGAAGCAGACTCCCCTTTTCTTCCCTTCTCCCCGCAGAGCAGAGCAAGTTGGAAGCTGCAGAAGAGAGACCAGGGCACCTGAAAGCGCCCATACAACTGCCAAGGTAGCACCAACAGTCAAAGGAAAGGGGAAGCCAATCTGGGGTGTATGCTGCACGGAGCACCCCCCACCACCCCAGCTTTCTCTCAAGCACCTTCCAGGTTTGATACTTCACCTGCCCCTCTCCCCCTCACCCTGGGGACAACTGGATCAGCAACTGCCAGGAGGACGGCATAGGAGAGGGCAGATCCAGGCCCCAGTCCAAGAAGGGGAAGGATGGCAGGATCCGAGTCATGGCAAAGGGGAAACATGGGAATGGAAATTCGAGACTGCATGCACATTGTGGGAGAAGGCCTGGAGGGTGTGGGAGAGGGCTCCAATCCTCTTACCCCTCAAAGGTCTGGAGCTTGTCTTCAATTTTTGTCAAGGATGGAAGGGGGAGGAGGAGCACCTTCCCCACCACCCCCACAGGCACATGCTCATCCATCCCTCATCCCCAAAGGCTCCACTGCCCGTTGGACCACACCACATTCAAGGACAAACAACCACTCCCTAACCCCACCACAACCCTCCCTGCCTCCTCCCAGTGGCAGTGACACCCAGGAACAGTGGGTGCCCCCACTCCCCTGCACTGACACACTCCAGTCTCCAGGCAGGAGGGAGTGGGCAGGGGGAAAGACGGAGAAAGGGTGACAGTGAGGGCAGAGGGACAGCCAAGGGGAAAAGGAGAGAACTAAGGACAGCCATTCACACCATGACTTCTCGCAGGTAAAGCTTCCCCCACACCCCTGGAGTGGAGGGGACCTGGCTGCTCACTTGCTGCCTCCTCCACTGCCGCCTGCTGCCACCTTCTCAAAATCCTCTGCATTGCAGAACTCCTTGATGGTGACGGTGAGGAGGTTGCTGGTGACATCTGTGACCACCACGTTAGAGCAAGGGGACATCTCGGGACGCCAGTCGCCAGCCTCCTGCTCCGGGTCAGAAGAGGAAAGGGACAAGGAGGGTGTCTGCCCCCCACTGCACCCTCCTGGAGTAGAACGCTTGCTGGTAGCAGCCGACTCAGGTGGGATGGAGAGGTCGAGGACCTCCGACTCACGCCAGTCGGGGATGGCTGGGCTGAGGGTCTCGGGGAGCAGCTTTGGAGGGGAATCATCTGGGTCAGAAGAGGAGTGGGGGGCGGGCGATGGGCAGCCAGAGGAGCTGGAGCTGGGGGCATCATAGGGGGTGGAGCCCATAATGAGCCCACAGGAGGCTGCCTGGGAACCTTCGGCTTCCCCTTTGCCCTCCAGAGAGGGGGCAGGTGCAGCAGATGGCTTGTTGTAGAGCGAAAAGGTGCCAAACTTCATGTGGCGGATCTGGGTGCGGAGGACACTCTCACTGAACTTTTTGCTCTTGCCAATGACACGGTTTCGGGATGGGATCTTGGGCCGAGCCAGGCCCCCAGCCCCATTGGCTGGCTTCCCACCTTTGTCAATGACTTTGAGGTTGAGGATGATGCGGCTGCGCTTGGGCTCACGGGGTTTCACCTTACGGTTGATGATGCGGACGGTCTCCGAGAAAGGCGAGACAGGAGGACGGATGCCAGCCCCACCACCCACGCTCCCACCATTCTGGGGGTCTGGACGGGGCAGTGGGCGACGGGACATGCGGTGGCATCGCCGTATGTCTTTCTTGAGCCGGTGCACTGCGGCACTGGAGTGGAGCTTGGGAGAGGATGTGCTAGAACCAGGCTTGACAGAAAAGTGTACATCCCCAATGTGGAGGGCCTCCGCTTGGGCCCGAGCCTGCGGTGGTGGGGAGAAGAAAAAAAAAACCAAAAAAACGGGGTCAGAGAGGCAGCCTAGGTGTACCTAAATCTCAACTGGGCATTGCTCACCTCAGGACAAGTGCTTACCAGCAACGCTGTCACATTTATACCTACATGAATTACAAGCACAGATATACACCTATGGGCTACTGACAGCTACGGCACAGGCCCAACACAAGCTGTCTGTATCCTTTTTGGGCATCTAATTACTCCTCAGGCTGTGCCCCTGTTGACATGTACTTTTCCCAGGGGGAAACTGCCACCCTCCAGCCACGTTTCAAGGTGCAGTTAACAGTCTCCAAGGCCCCCCCTCAGTCATCATCAGCCAACATGCACAATCCTGCACTGTCAGACAACCAGCCAAGCATCCTCCTAGACATTGGGGCTGTTAGTGTTGAGTTAGCATCCAAAATTAACTTACTAGTGCCAAGACAGAGGACTGTATCAGGTCCTCTACAAAATGAGCATGAGACATGGGGGAAAGGAAGAGTAACGCACCCAGCTTGCTCTTCCCCTCCCACAACCAGACTCATCTGCTCTGGAAAGCATGGTAGAACGGGGTCTTGAGGAACACTGATGGAGGTGGGTGAGTGTGATCTGACAGAGCTGTCTTAGCTAAACACAAGTGCAGAGATCTGAAGATTAATTTTAACTAGAGATCACAAGCAAGTTGTTTATCCTTACTCTGCTGTGGGAGCAAGGTCCCATCTTTAAAGCAAGACTAGGACAGCTGGAATTCAAGTCAAGTTTAACTGCATCTCCAAAGAAGACACTGCCTTGTCCTTCTGAACACCACACTTGTTTGAAATCTACTAATGAAACAGAGCAAGAACCAGCAGCACTGGTTCAACTGCTTGGTGCCAGCCCTGCCTGACAGCCAGGGCAGGGGCACAAGACTTTTAAGCTCTTCTGGTGCTTGGGGATAGTGCCAAAACCTGCCCTGGTTCATGCACGAGAGACAGAACATTTCCTGGCAGCAGACGCAATAGTTTCATTGGCAAGGTGAGGCAGTATGACCTGAAGGCCCTGTGAGCATGGCAACCCAGAGTATATTCTTACATCATGCCTTGTCAGAGCACAGCTGCTTGTAGAGCTCAGCCTCCCACCTGTACCCTGCTCCTTGCCTAAAGCAACTCCCTTCCTTATTTCCTCCCAGCAGTGGTCACAGACAGAAGTCACCCAGGCCTGGAGGGAACAGGTGAGCCCCCCTCCGATTGTCCATCTAGTGAGCAGCTTCCCCCACCTCGTGGGCATAACAAGAACTGCACAGCTAGAAGACGACAGCTGTTTTTCCTCCCCAACTTTTCCATCCCGTTGCCCCCTTGTACACGCCAAGATTGGGATGGCTTATTGCCAGCTAAGAGCTTAAGCACTCCAACACCATCTCCTTTGTCACCCTGCAGTCTGTGCCTCCTACCAGGGAAATGCCTGGGGGAAAAAAAATGTGCGTGTAAAGGCAGGGATCTAACAGATCTAAGCAAGGGGCCCAGGCCAGCTCTTGCACAATAAGCTCAAAGCCCTGGCCCTACATCTGCAGAGCTTTGCTGCCACCCAGTGCCCCTCTTCTCCCACCGAGATCCCCATGGGAACCACAGAAGATCCTGAACAAGCAGAGAGCAGAGACACGAAGACATTTTGTTCCTCCCTGGCTAACGCTAGAGGAGCATGCCCTCAGTACTACTTGTATCTTGGCTTTAAAAGGAGGAGATGAGGCCACCTTCCCTGGCTGTATGTGAAAACACAGACTGAAGGCTCATCTGAACCAGGGACTCTAGACTTTTTGTTAGCCAACTGACAAAGAAATAGGGACAAATAACATGACTGCCAAGGCAGGCACACACACTCCCCATGTTAACCCTGGGCTGTACAGGGCTATTTTACCTAGCTAGAGGGAAGCATCCCCAGCACAGACAAACTCCAGCACTTCCTGCTGTAGCATGAAGCATCCCAGTGTCCAGCTAGTTTCCCTGTGCTCAGCCTTGCATGTTACTCCATGCCCCAAACTGTTCAGAAAATGAATAGTTAAAACACAGTTCCTGTCCCAGGCATCCTACAGGCTGGAGCACAGCAGCAGTACCAAATGAACTCCCTGCATCATGTATCAACTCTCTCCCATCCCATTGATCCACAACTGAAGAGACCCCACAGGCCCTGTCAGGAGGCCACAGGCACAGACAGATGCACATCTAGGGCTGTGCTTGCTCCTTCTCTTCACAGGTCCTTCTGGAGATGGCAGATACCAGGACAAGCTACAGTTTGCTTTCTGACATTACATACCACACAGGTTGGATTATTTTTCCTGTCTGCACCGCCTTCCCCATCAAGCCAGCCCTTCCAGCATTGCTACTTACCAATTTACCACTGCTCATCTGAGAGCAAAGTGCAACCCAACGTCCTGTTCCAAAACAAAACAGGAAAGCCAGGCAGATGTGTCAGTAAAAATCCTGGATCCACAGCTTCAGCAGAGAGACACAGGTGTCCTTCAGGGCTTCTCCTGCTGCCAACACTGCATGTCTTCTAGATTAATTCCCTTCCCTGTAATTGTGCCTTGGAGTAAGGAGTTCTGCCCCCTCTGTGCCACTCTGCTCCGAGTGAGTCTAATTACCGCCTGCTCACAGCACCAGCTTCAGTCACCTGTGTGAGAAAGGTGGTAGCCTCCCCCGTGTGGGGGAAGCAGTCACAAACACCTACACTTGCCTTACACACCCCAAAATTCCTCAGCAAAGCTTCCCATCAACCATGTTAAATAAGTAAGCAATAAAGCTGGGATATTCACTGCCCAGCTGCTTCCATAGTCCTGTTGATTGTACTTTCTCAACCTGTGCATGTTAATCAGCTCTTGCCCCATTTTGACAGAGACCTGTCATGATTTTGTGCTTACACAGCAGCCAGCACAGAGCCCTGGTCCATGGCTAGGACTTTTCCAGTGTGCCAGAACCACTAGGTCTCCTTCACTTGCTATGTATCTGCCTTTCCAGCTACTTCTAGGGCACCTCCTCAAGGCTGAAACTGTTTCTAACTCATGTTTCAACTCTGCATTTATTAAATACCAGTTTCAGTTGTCTCCAGGTAGACTACATGCAGCATTGATCTTTTTAGCCAGATTAAAAGAGTAAGCCAGGAACCAACAGTCTTCCCCTGGTGCTACATTGCTATCTGCAGTGACCAGCTTCAAGGCAAGTTCCAGAGAGCAATATGCAAATATTCAGCTTACCTTGAACTTGTTTTTCCAGGTAAGGTTTCAAGAAAAACAGTATCAGATACTTTATCTAAGACCAGCCCCCAGAGCCCTCTCACTTGCAAAGCTCAGTATTCCTACCACAGGATCAGGTTTGTTCAAGCATCAACTATACAACTCAAGTCTCTTCCCTGCAGAGGACAGTACATTTTCTGGGCTCTCCTTCTGCTTCCAACTTTACATTAAGTAACTTGCTACCTCTGGTTTGAAGAGGACTTGGCATTCAGTTTTATCTGTTGGAAATGCACTTCTCCCTGCTATGGATTCATTACTCAATCACACTCATGAGCCATATGAGCATAAGGTCTTTGAAAAACAAACCCATTTAATACTTTTAGCTGTGTCACCACAGTTTGCTACTTAACTCAGAAGTTTCCCAAACAGAAACTATCTCTCTGGGTTTTTCTGTTTTCACCTGCAGGATTTGCTCACTGCTGAAGAGGTACTCGCATGTATACGAAGTAATTCATTCTGCTTACAGCTCAGCCTGTATCAGGATGCAGCTTCTGGAGGCTTGCTGCAGTGCTCTGTCACGAGAGCAAGCCAATTGCTAGGACTGCTTCCCTTCCCCCTCTCCCCTTTTGGGATATGTATCACCTTTATTTAGCTTGTACAGCTCTCCCTCATTGCCCCTGGGAACTAGTATATCTCCCCTGTTCCCTACTATTTCTGAATAAATGTCCCTTGAGGCCCAGCAAGCATATTTGTTCATTCATTCCCTTAACGCACTGAGATGCACAAGCACGTACACGGACACGTGCTTACAAAAGCCTCTATTACCTGATTTGTATCAAAACCTCTGCAATTTGGAAGAGGAAAAAAAAAGACAAAAAAGAGACCTTGTAAGGCAAAGGATTTCTAGTTAATTATTTTAAAACAAGTCATTTCCAGTAGCGCTGCTGCACCATACTAGTGCTACTCTCTCATAAATTACTGGTTCTGCTTTGTCTTTTATTCTCCACCTGCATTCCCACAGTCCTTGCTCCAAACAGCATTCGCAAGAGCTCTTCTTTCTCCTTTTTGGCTGCCATTCTGCCTTTTTATCGCCCTCTTTCTTCTGAAGTCTTCCAAGTGACAAGGCAACAGCAAGCTAGTTCATAGCACAGTTCTCCCAAGCAACACTGCCATAAACTAAAGTTTCCCTAGTGGATGGGGAACAAAATGCTACAAAGGAAAACGGTTTGTTTTCAAACCGCTTGGGGATAATTTACGAACAAGGGAGGAGATCAAAGGAAACGCAACTCTAACTTTAGGGTTCAAAGAAGGGCAAAGTGACAGAATACCACGCTGCTCAGCCCCCTCTTCCCCCCTGTCCCACCAAGGCTCTCCCTTACTTCTGCCTTCCCATTAACGTTCTTTAGCCTTTTCACCTTAGTATTTACAGCCACCCTGACTAGAGTTCTTTGCTAGCCACCCACTGAGCTTGCAGACCAGGCTCTGTCTCTTAATAGCACTTGCTAGACTTTATTAGATTAGTTGGCAAGTTTTGCATTCCACACAGCAGAGTGCCAAGGGAAAAGCAAAATAAAATGAGCAAACCAAGCAGGGGAAAAGAGGAAGATCACTACAGCTCACGCTATGTCCCTTTCTAACCTCACACCAGCTTCCATTCTGACCTGCAGCTGAAGGGCCCATCCTCAAGGACTACTCCTGCCAGGCAACAAAGTAGTAAGGTTCTTTGTACAGTGTTGCCCATTTCAGACCAAAGGCTCTGCTTCACGTACACTCAGCACAAAGTTTGTAGCATACCAGCAGCCTCCCAAGAATTGCAACCTCCCACCAACCTTGATCTCAGCTGTGGGAAAGTTTGCCCCTTCGTATGCAGAGAATAGAGACCCATTTCCTGCCCAAAACTTTGCAGTTGAAGTTTACAGGGGTCACTTTCAACACCGGCCATCTTGACAGCAATATTAGAAAGCCTGGACTGTAATTTCCCTTTGCAGTATGATCAAAAGGGCAAGTGTTAGACAGCTCTCAGCAACAGGAGCCTGGCTTACAAAGGCAGCAGGTGGCCAAAGATGAAGCTTTTCAAAGCTTTTCCAAAGGCGTGGGCCACTAACCTGATGGAATGCTCTCTACAAATTCCCCTGGGTGCTTATCTGCAGCTTTTGAGAACTAATTCCAGGATAAACCTAGCCCCAACTGCAAACTGAAACACCCGCACAAGCCAGAAGACTGGGCAGCATATGGGACAACTTATTTCAATGCCTTACTGGAGGCTCAGAAGCCCAAATTTAAGCACTGATACACATGAAAAATCCTAGCAAGCCACTAAGGCTACAGCAGACTAATCTACCCAAGCAGTCCTATGCCAGATTGCTGCTTAAACATCATTACATCCAGGCCTAATCTGTTCAGTTAACAGATAAAAAAGAATATTGTTCTAACTGCCAACTCCAAAGACTCCCTCTGGGATGCAAGAATCAAATTTCGTCTCCTGCTTCCGAAATTCTCATTGGCAAGAGATTCTGCAACCAAAAGATCTGAAAACATTGTTAGCGATGCGTGAGGCAGAGCCAAATCCCACTCACCCTGCAGCGGCACCGGTGCTGCAGGACTAGCAGAGGTCAAGCCCACGTCTTTGGCAGGCCAGAAGAACTGACAAGAGATGTATACAACACAAACTATCATGCTGGTCTCCCTCACGTTTCTAGCTGCAGTTGCGTTGCCAGTGGTTTGCCTGAACAGAGCTCAAACAAGCTCAGATAGGGCTAGCAGAGATAGAGTTACTTCTTGCTGCCTGGCCTGGGGTGTTATTTTTAGGGTGGGATTCAAAGTCACAAAAAAATGGCATGTCAGGGCACTAACAGTTTCACCAGCTCCATTTCCCAGAGCTGCAAACCAAGCAGCAGCAGTAGCACTCTGCCCTGCCAGCCTCTCCCACAAAGTGGCACCAGCCCTCAGGAGAGCTCATCTCACTCCTTATTGCTATCCATCTTCTGCAAAGTACCAAGCCAGCTCCGCAAACCTACAGGTTTTCAGTAGTGTTTGAGAAGCTGGCAGAGGGAAGATGTGCCACAGAAACATGTTCAGGGACGTGATTCAGTGGATGCTGTTGAATAATTCAGGTTCTAACTTTAGGAGGGGGTTTAAAGGGCAAGGGGAGAAGAGGAAGAATGAGTGAGTTTTATTTTTGAGTTTGGGGGTTGGGTTTTTTTTTTTCTTTTTAAATAAGCGACAGATTGGCAACTGATTTTGCTGTATCACATTCAGAATCAAAAAGAAAAGGAACTGGTTACACACAGTCACATTAAAAGCACAGCATAAACGCTTCCCTACAACTCTGAACAGTGTCAGGTGTTACAAATACTACTATTTTTTAATTCAAGCAGAGAACTATTTTAAGCTGGTGGTTTCCCTTTAAGCGTTCCTCTGCATTGTTGGAAACCTAAACACAAGGGTTTAATTTAATGCATGACTGCCAGAAAGAGAAAAACCAACTAGTCTAGTTTCCCTGAATAAAGTGTAAGAGATAGTACAGTATCGGTTCTGTTTGTAAATCCGAGTATGCAGATGTATAAAACTGTTATCAGAAAAACAGTCAGTGAGGGAGAAGGACAGTACCATCAGCAGGACTTCCCAAGGATTAACGTGGTCCCCTGTGTTTTACTTGGGGCATGAGAATACGTGTGCTCCTGCATTTCTTCTGTGTGCTTCGTTATGTCCCCTTAAAGCAAAGCAGAGAAAAGGTGACACCCTACCCCTCACGGCTCTTTCCAGTGCTCATACAGTTAAAGTGATGCACTGACTTGAGTAAAGCTTCTACTGCTGTCAAGCAAATGAAAAGTATTAACCTGTTTCACAGATGGGGAAGCATGCACAAAGGCTAAATGACTTGCCCAAAGCCATAGGATGACTTAGTGATAGCGATGCCTTACCGCAGGGCTGTCCCAGGGCTTCATACCAGATCAAAGCCAGGGAAGCTGTGAACACGCTCTTAATTTTAGAGAGATATGTTTTTTCTACGTTCACCTGAAATCTGAGACTGACATAGTCGGATAGTAAGTAGGGGGGAAGAAAGGAGCAAAGCAAGGAGTTTTGTCTGTAACTAATAAATCGATAGAACTCACGTAGTGGTCATACAGCTAACGGATTTCTTAATTTTAAAAAGTAAAAAAATTGGGGGGGGGTGTCTGCACTAGGGACTACATTCCTTGTTCTTCACTGCAAGCAAGCAGAGATGCTACAACACCTTCTTGCAGAGGTGCTGGGTCTATCAGAGGGGAACTGAAAACTTCAGCTGCTATCCTATGCAGAGGTCAAACACTCCCAGCCCCCCTCAAAAAACAAGATGATAGTGTACAGATCAAAACATGAACCCTTCATGAAACTCCCATGGAGTACCTATATCCTGAAACCAATCAGAGGAGCATAAGTGGCAGTGGGATTCCCGTCACAGCTGCCTGACCGCTCAGCATGCTGCTAAGTTGCAGGGCACGGGCTGGATGGAATAGGCTGTCGAAGGAAGAGGGAGCGGGGCTGGCTAGCTCTCCACTGCGGCAGCAGAAGGCCGTAAAGAAGGAGAAGATATTGAAAAAAGAGATTGCAGCCTCACCATACACATCTACATATACCGACTGTCCTGCTGGGGCACCCGTCGCTTGCACGCACACACACTCTCCCCTTGCACACTTCTGTGTCCCTGCCCCCCACCCACTTTCCCATCAGGTTGTCCTGCGTTCCCAGAGCCAGGCAGCAGACACGAGTCAATTGAAAGTCCAGTCCTTCCAAGGGCACGCCACTGGCAAGGTCTGAGAGACAATCGGCTGGGCCTAAGTTATTTAAATAAGAGTTACCTTCAGGAGAAAAGTTTTAGGCTTAGGTCCTCTCTTCTTGGGCCCATACAGCTCACGCTCTCGTTCCCTTTGGGGAGTCAAATTTGTCAAGAAGTTAAAACTTTTCCCAAAGGGAGGAACAGAAGCATACAAGTTAAAAAAAAAAAAAAAAAAAAAAAAAGGTGTAATATG